TGCGGGCGGGGGAGCAGGCGCCAGTGGGGCGATGTAGTGATCAGGGCGGATGCTGCCATTCGGGCTGAAGCAGAGGCGGAGGCGGAGGAGGCGAACACGGAGGGGGCCTCGTTGGGCTTTTGGAAAAGGATGAAGAGGTGGATGTGGAGCAGGGATCAAGACGAGACGAAACACATTGCGTGAGGCGCGTGGGGTGATTCCAAACTACAGTGAGTACTGAGATGTCCGATAATCGACGAGCACTCACCATTCGTTATGATAGTGTCGTCTCAGTGTCTCGTGGCCTGTAAATATAAGCCGTCAGCATTGTAGCATTGTACACTAGGTAGAACGAACACGAACCTTTTTGCCATCCTCCTCGCCATTTCTCATAGCCTCTTCGACACTCTTCTCCGTGATCGCTCTCCACACCCGAGTTCGCGAATGACGTGTTGAACCCCTCATCGAGTGACTTCGCAGAGTTGAAGATCTTGGGCAGGACGAAGTTGAGGAGGGCCAATAGTTCGGGAACGTTGTTCTGAAGGGGGGTACCGGTGAGGATGAGGCGGTAGCGGAAATGGTAGTACTGCGTCAGCGTCTGTGCAAGGGTACCGGTGAGGATGAGGCAGTAGTGGGAATGGTAGTACTGCGTCAGCGTCTGTGCAAGTTTCGACTGGGTGTTCTTCATGCGATGTCCCTCTGATAGCAAGCATGAACAACATAACCAAAAAAAAAAATCAAACCCACTTACCAATGATCATATGCACCCATTTGAGTTTGCTGAGAATAGGTCGGTCCTTGATGATGTACTCGTACGTAGTGAGCAGAACCTGGAACTGGCCCATCTGCAGGTCGCCTTGGAGGTTTCGACGTTGTGCAGGGTTGCCCTTGTACAAGATCATTTTCAGCGTCGGCACCCACTTTGCGAATTCGCCAGACCAGTCCATCATTGTCGATAGAGGCACGATCTCGAGGAATTAAATATTCTAATGGGATCTGACCGTTAAAAACAGATCAAAATTTGAATTGAAGACGTACCTATGCCATACATGGCGGTCAGGAGGCTATCTCGAACGCATGATGATCAGCGAACTTGTTGACATAAAATGAGCGGAAACAATCAATGGAATGGTAGAACTTAAGGTCGTGAGGGATGTACTCCGAACCGTACATAGGTATCAGGTGTGCTGCACGGAACACCGTCTCGATATGAATAACAGCAAGGTTCCGGGAACCACCCTCGTGGAAACTGGGACGGACCATCCACATGCCAGTGTCTTCGTCAGCACAATCATCAATCTTCTCAAACCAATGAATGAGAGCGCATGGATATACTTCCCAGTTGTGCTTGAAAGAAAAGAAGCATACAATTCTCGCAACTTCGAGTCCTCGCATGCCTTGAGCGTCCGAATCAGTGTCGATGAACACACAGTCATTGCGCGGGTACTCGTTTCTCCAGAGTGGACATGCACGGATATGTTCCCGTCGCATGCCACCAGTACCACTCAGATCGCTGGGAGCAAAGAAGGTTGCGGCAGCAGAATTGAAGACCTGGAGCTTGCCTTCATGCCGAGGCAAGCTACCAGTTGGGACATCTGCAGGATCGTGGGGATCATCTTGGTTGAGCTGAGTGAACAAAAAGTGTTGAATGAGGCGTCGCAGATCTGGAACAGCAACTTCGTGTGCTAACGCCGCTACTGTTCGCGCCCGTTTTCGTTCTGTATGATACAATAGTTAGCATCGAGATTTGACGCTGCATGGTATCACTTACGAGGAGTTTTGGCAAGCACTACATAACCAAGTACTGTTGGACCATCAACTACCTCACCGTCATCGATATCGATGTCTGGTTGCGGTTCAATGGCATGGGCATCTGGCTGTGGTGCAATAGGAGGGACAGCCTGTTCATCTTCATCCGGTGCTGTATGTTGCTGTTTGAGTATGCGAGAAGACGACCAGAGAAAGAAATCTTACTGAGAGCGGCTAAAGCACTTGATAAAATAGTGCCAGTGAGCATCCCTCGTGCATCAAAGTCCACGCGGGATGCTGCAAGCTTGTCAAGGCGTTGATTGGTTACAAGCATCTGACCAAGAGCATTATGCCTGCTTGACCAACGCCAAGGCTCCTTTACAGCCTTGATATGTTTTGATTCTGTGATTGACGAGCATAGTCCGTTCGGGGCACCGAAAAGTCGAATCATGTCTGTATAATGAATCATTGAGTGCTGGCGAGGGAGTGAGAAGGTAGGAACAACGAGATCAAATATCTGGCGATAGCGATGGAACCGGTGAAGTGCGTCTTGCATCTGGTTCAGGGTATCTTCGGTGACAACATCGCGCCGCGCAAGATAACAAAATTCTAACAATGCGCGAAATGCGCGAACCATATCTCCAGGCACATGGCCTTCAATAGCTGGAAGAAAGACCTTCATGAGCGCTTTCGAATCATCACCCGTCCACTGTTTGAAGTCGCGGCCTTGAGGAAATCGTCGTAGACCAGAAAATGATGGTGCAGCAGCGACTCTGACTTAAATTAGAAGAGAATATCAATATAATGAATGAAGGGCATACCTGCGATCTATGTCGCTCATAATCTCCTCCGCCCGCCTGGTCCCGTGCACAGCCTTGAGGTACTTTGCTACCCAGTCGACGAGATGGTCTTTGAAAGCACCTTTGATGAGCTGATGGAGGAGGTCGAATGACAGTAACTCGTGGATATCTGCTCGGGGGAAGTCGTTCGTAAAGGGCTACACAATACATATTAGTTTCGAATTGCAGAGCGGCCGGCTCCACTCACGACGAGATCACCAATGATACCGAATTCATCCCATAATACATCCCCATGTAGCTCACCAATAAGGAACTCAGTGTGCTCACGACAGCGATCCATGCCACCATTGTCGAGGTTCGTTCGAACTGCAATACATCTATGTGTATTGTTAGTACAGATGGATAATGATTACAACTTCCAATACTCACTTCGGGCACCAATGCTTAACAATACAGGATAGCACTAGTTGTTCCTCGTAATCCGCGATGTAGGGTCCTAGACTGTATATAATGCGCCGAAAATGTCCATCTCCACAGCGCACAACTTCGTATTCGGTCATTGCGGATTTCAAGCTAGAGAGAATGGCAGATAGCGAGCTGTGGAATAGCTGGCGACGAAATATCCGAAACACATCATCTTTTGAATGCTTCTTGTCAGCTGTAGTGCAGTAAGTCAGATGAGGCGCAATAAAATCTAAAATATCAACACACGTACTTTTGGGTATGGCGAGGAAACCGATTATGACAAGAGCATCGCGGTGAGCACGCCGTACACTGTTGCGTACATTGCCGATCGAGGCATAGAGGGGATAGTACTCGTTGTTACCAGTGCCCACAGAAACGGTAGTCTTATCACTACCGAGAATGATTGGGACTAACGCAGATCCATGCGTCTCTGGATCTTTTGATATGATGTCCTTGATGAAGCGTTAGCTCTGTCCCGAGCAGTAATAGATGGAAAACATACTGATTGTTTCCATGCCCAGTCTCCAGACATGAAGTCTTTCCAACGGCGCGTCTTGTCCGATGCATCATATTCACGAAATGGCGTATAGTCGATTTCATCTTTGAAGGTGGGGTTGGCTAGTATGTTGTGCGCCATCGCGCGAGGGTCCCTATACCAGACATCGAATTCATCATCCATCCATGGCGGGACAACCTCAGGGCGTTCTCCTGTGTACTGAACCGAGAAAGATTGCCAGGGGACATCACCAAGCTGTGTCGCATCTATGACATTGTGGAGATCTTTATGATCGGCGAATGGAGGGACATCGCGGTGTTTCACGAGAGTTGCGGCCATTAAATCACATAAGAAATCCAGGTTTTTGGCAGACATATGGCATTTTTTGAACGCGAACTCAGCCGCCTCAAATTCTATTCTATTGCGATATGGGCTCCAGTCGTCAGGAGCCTTTTGTGGCATGGGAGTTGGAGGGGCGCCATGTGGCAGAAATTCTCCATCAGCCGTGCATGGTCGTCCTAAGCATAGATCTAAGTCAAAAACAAAAACAACAAGAGTACAGATGTAAATGAACGTACCGTTTAACATCGAATGGTATGTACGATAACAACGCTCACTTGAATCGGTAAATTCTGCGTCAGCGTTGTCCAAATCCTCATGAGTTGGTTCAGAGGGCATAGGAGGTGATGGCTGGGGAGGTTGTGAGAAATCCCGAGGAGGCGGTGAGAAATCCGGAGGTGGTGGTGAGAAATCTCGAGGGTGGGATGGTGACCGGGATGGTTGAGGAGGTCCTGGAGCAGGTATATTTGGGTGGAGTGAACGCCTGTGTTGAGTGAGACCTGATTGGTTTCGAAACCAGCGTGCGCAGCCTGGAGCCGGGCATGGAAGCTGAAGTAGGTGGTGAGCACGGCGGGGAGGCATATATGTGTTGTAGGCCAAGTTGATGTTGGCAGTCGAAAAGTATATCTGAAGGTGAACGAGAAATTCGGACCGGCACCAATGTGACCAAACCAGGCTAAATGCACAAATGAAGGCTAGATTCGGGGGTTCTTGAAAGCGCCCAAATTACATAGGCTCATTGACGTTCGAGCAACACCAGAAACTTGAAGGTGTCCAATACAGTGAACTCTGGGTTCACAGCACCCGAAATATGCCGAAAGTGTTACTGAACTGCCTCCTTGCCGGACAGGTTTTAGTAAATGTTGATGTTCAAACTGCTTGCCGAGAAGCGCTTGATGAACATTGACGCCTTGCAGCAAAACTATGGGTAAAAATTAATATTCAGACTACTGGGGCTGGTGAAAAATACTGGTAGACAAACATTTGGGAGCGGCAGGCGCGAAAGGATCGCGGTAATCTAGTGGGTACGTCAGCTTGGTAAGGGTCAATGTAGATATTTATTCAGAGTCAGCTTAGACTACAATTTTTGAAGAATGGTGACGAAACATACCTTGTTGTGAGCTACCATCGCCCTCAAATTTCTTTACCCTCCCAAACGCTCCATTGACACCATGCCCACCAGCGCAGCTTCAAAACGCATGGCGACTCGACCTAAGAATGCAACTCAGCATCCAGGACATATTCTGACTGGGGGCGAAAACCGTACAAAAAGACGTACCAAAGCTCAAAAGGCCGCCGACGACCAACGTGAAGAAGAGGAGAAGAAGGCAAGTAAAGCAGCTGTACTGGAAACTAATAAGCGCGTTGCGGCATTTCATAAAAAGATGGAGACAGACCAAGCTGCTGCGCGTGCTGATGCACCTAAGCCTAGTCGTCCTCGTCCTCGTCCTGTGAAAAAGGCTGTGAAAGCTCCAGAGACCACCGACTTGACTACGGCTGCCGGTAAGGCTGTTGGCGCTATAGGCAATGGTGGCAGGGCTGATAAATCAGCAGCCAGTGCCAATATTGAGCATCCTGGGAGTGAAGAAGACGAGGAGTTGGAGGTGCAGATGCCAGGAGCACGCAAGAAGAAGGGAAAGAGGATGGTGATCCCAGTGAAAACACCTGTGAGAGATGCGATTGATGTGGCGGGTGCCCTTATCGCCAACGAATCAACACAGGCACGTGATGATGATAGGTCGTCTGACTCGGATGTGTAAGGCATTTAATCGTTTTAACCATGAAGCTCCATCTGACTGAAACATCACTTTTTTTCTTCAATCTTATGGTCTATGATGACGATGCTAGCTCTCCACCTGGTTCTAAAAAATTCAGTCATATCGGTCGTATCCCGAATTGGAGGATGCACATTCACATTAGAAAGCCATCCTCCGAGTCCAACTTGAAGCACCGTGGGAGAGCTTCTGGAGCGCCTTCTACTACTATCTCTAGTGCCACTCCCTCCTCTAAGCTCACCAGGGGGAGCACTTTGAGTAGTGGTGGTGCCTTACTCACGCCTATCGATACTCCCGATGCTGGGGCCAACGACGTGTCGGATCTTTTTACAACTCTGTTTGCAGACGACGAATTAACCGACTCAGTCGAGCGCTCTCAAGCACTCGCTCGTATGTCAAAATCAAAGGCTTCTCAGGTGAGTCCAACCATCTAGTTTATTTCTATGTGCTAACTGCATTTCCAGGGTGTCAAAATTTCTCAAAAGGTCTCAGAGAATTCTCGACTTCAAACGAAGTTACCCCATCGCAATGCCAATCTGGCACCCAAGCAGCTCGACCCGATTGAGCCTGATGTCACCGCGGATGATGGTGCCTTCAATCTCGTGGGCGATGATCTTGAAGTGAATGCGGAGACTGCTCCTCCAGTAACTTCCCTCGTTGACTATGATTCCAATACCGAGAGGGAATCTGATCTTGAACCCCCTCCTTCTGCACAGGTTCCAAAAGGATACTATGATGCCGACCGGCCTCCACATCTCGCTCCATCCTACTTATCCCACCCTACCAGCGTCAAGCGCAAACTCGTAGATGCTGAGGATGACATTACTGACGATGACTTGATTGAGGACACTCTAATCGAGGACAACCTCATGATCACAGATGACTTTGCGATCGAGGACGACCTCATGTTAACGGATGTGATCAAGGACGACATCATGATCGAAGACGACCTCATGATCGAAGACGACCTCATGATCGAAGACGACCTCATGATCGAGGATGGCCTGGTCGACGAAGACTCACCCTCCTCCGAAATCGAGTTTGTGGCTCACGTCGAGCCTGTGGTCAAGACTGTGGTCAAGACTGAGTACAAACCAGTGTCCTTGCGGTTGACTTCTATGGTAGTGTGCTTTGGGTTCAATTATTTGAATTCTACTGACTACAAAATTTATAAACCGGTGTCGGCGTCAAACGCAATGCCCCCCCTGCAGCAAAGCGGCTGAAGTCTTCTCGCAGCATGTCCAGCATTCCAAGTACTGTGAAACCTCAGGCTGGTCCCGCGAATCCGTTAGAGGTGACAGTGGAGATCCTCCCCCGTTCTTCATATAGGATCAAGCATCTTCCTGGAGGACCTCGGGCAGTGGCTAGGTGGAGCACAACCTTCATTCCCACTCTCATTTCTGCTATCGGAGACCAGGAAGAAGTCTGGGGTCGTATCGAGTCGGAAGCAACGTTCCACGCTACTATACAGGACACCTGGGATGCTGTCCATGAAGATATCCCCCATATCGTCACGAATGATGGACCCGTTATAGCTATAGTGAGTTATCTTTGACACTATTCATGTCTGAGCTTTATTTTTTCCTAGGCTCTGCAACGGCTATCAGAGTGGCGCAATTGCATTGGCACCACGGCTGTCACGGTATACACAAACTTCCTGTCGTTGCAAGATGATGTCAAGACTGATGAAGATCGCAAAGCATTTTCCGAGAGCTTACTTGTCAAGTTAGCGTTCCTGTATGGGAACATCCCGGAGGAAGGGAAATTGGAGAACCCTTTCGAGTCTGAGCTTATCATTCAGGTACTCACACAGCACGCATGCGCTACTTTGGGTGCTATTGGCGACCATCACACAACAGCGCATGCAAAAGGTGCACTCAGCCTTTGCACTGCAGCGGCATGTATCTTCCTGCCCTCTCTTCACAGCACGGCTAATTATTTCCTGTGTTTTAGGTGGAACGTGCCATCCGCCTTATCGCTTCCGAGACGCTTGTCAGCGAATTGGAGGCGAACAGTAAAGGCAAGGCCGTCAAGGTCCCTCACTCTCTCAACAAGTTCTCGGGCAAGATCAGCGGCTCTCGAAAGGCGTTCTCGGACACTAATTTCGGTGTAATGACCAGGTGCTACATGACATCCATCAACCACCTGCAAGACTCAGTCATCCAGGATATCTGGGAACAGGCGAAGGAGATTGCCTTTAAGAGGCGCGGTGCACCCTCCGCTCCAGACGAAGACTCGGAGGATGAGCGCGCACTCATAGGGTTCTAGTTGTTGTCTTTCTTGTTGCCCACTGCATGCATCTCCTTCACTGCTTCACTGCTTCATAGTATGCTACTGCTTCGCTAATTGCTGCTTCTGAAACTCCTTTTTAGTGTCTTTTGTCCAACTTTTTCTATACTTAATCTACTTGTCGCTTGAAATGCTATGTTTTGCCGTCATTTTTCTCTCAAAAAGTGTGATTAAGTCGCAAACAAGTAGAAAATAAGTGAGATAAGTGTTATTACTTGCTGCTACTTTTGCTAGCACTTGCACTACTTACAAAGGCAAAATTATCGAAAAAAGGCCAAAATAAGAGTGGAAAAAGGTCCAGTCAAGAGGAGGCATCTGCTTTTTCAACTTAAAATTGCTTGTGGCAAGTGGGTGTCACAGTTCTTGCGCGTGGCTTATCCGCACCTTTTTTGGAAGTTAACCGGCGGCAAGTTACAAAAAAGGCAGTTCAAGAAATGTGAGAATTTACTGATGCTGTCTGGCACCCAGAGAACGAGGAAATTCAAAAGGTACGCCCTTCAAGTTGATTGACTCATGCTTTGAAATCGGTTTCGCTTGATCTCTTAGTTTGATGAAGACTCGCATCTGGGTTCTTTAAAGCCTTAATGTTCAAATTAGCACATCGGATTGTTCGAAGACCATTTGCCCGAGGCTTTGAAGTCACGAATTTTGACTGTGCGAATTGATTCCAGAACACTGCGCTGTTTCTGGTCTTTAAAAATTAAAAAAACTTAACTTAGTAATTCGGGTATCTGCCGCATACAAGTATGACACTGCGCCTGGTACAATCTGATGGCATTCCGAAGAGAATGATTGACAACATCAATGTTAGTGAGCTTTGAGATTTCATCCCTTGGTGGCCGCAACAGCGGCATGTCACAACTCTGCCATGAACCGCCAGGCCAAACTATATCTGTTGGCCGGTGCTAAAGCTATTATCCTTCGGAAAGCCTCAGATAACATTAAAATTGAGGTGACATTTGATGGGAGCTGAGAACGTTCAACGACATCAACACTGGTAAGCTCCCGTCCATTACTGGCTGCGAAGGTAGCATGTCACAAATTTGCTGCCGATTGTCAGGCCGATCTCTATCTGCTGTAAAGGGTTAAAGCCGTTGTCCTGCCGAAAGCCTTATATACCATTAAAATCAAGTCAATATTTGATGGGAGCTGAGAATGTTCAACAATATCAACGCTAGTGAGCTTTCGTCTATTGCTGGCTGCAAAGGCAGCCTGTCATGACTTTGTTGCTAACCGTCGGACCAATCTCCGTCTCTTGTCAAAGATTAAAGTCATTGTCCTGCAGAAAGTCTTGAATAATCTCTCAATATGAAGCATACATGCTTGCAAGTGAGAACGCTCGATAATACGGACACCATTGCGCTTATGTCCGTTGCTGGCTGCGAAGGCAGCTTCTTATGACTTTGTCGCAGACTCCTCCAGCGAGCATGTATTGCTGACCATGCATGGCTAAGTACGATCAAGTCAAATTTCTCGTGGGATACATAGTCATATTTGGTAGGAGCAGAATTACACGATACTACAGCTGCAATGACTACAATTTCAAGGACTCGTGCGTTCACTGATGAAGGTGTGGGTGACTTCCATCACAACATATGTTCACAGTTCCCTGTGCATTGATGATCTTTATAACGCCTTCACGCCTACATGGACTTTTCTTTTGATATGGCACGTTCTCCTTTCTTATCACCGGAACTTATCCCCTGTGGCGAAAGTCTTGTTGTGCAAGCATAGTTGGTCTGGTACTTCTGCATCTGCACGTGCGTTCTTGTTCTTGTTACTTTGTCTGGACATCGTGATCACAAGCTAGGCTACATAATAGGACATGATTTACATACACTCAAATTGTCACGAGTTGTGCGACATATAATGGCTGACTCAAAGGAGCCAGTCATTCAATAGTACTGACATGGACAGGCCTAAAGAGAATTTAAAAATCACATTGCATGCACCACTCCATGGTGAATCGTGATGCATTGACGCATGATATTCTGTAAACACTGACATGACTGTAGCACGTCTTTGCTGTGATTCAAGGAGTTCCCCACAAATAAATTGGTTGCGCAGTCTTAAGTGGACCTCAAGTTACAACATCAACTATAGTCTATGAAGGGGTCAGGGAACCCATGTGTGCTCCCGGATCGGTGACATCTCAATCAGGGTCTCTGATCGTGCTAAACGCCGCGAGAGCTTTGTTTTTCTATTCAAGGAAGCTTTTCATCCCTAGCAGGCGTCAAGGACCGGCTGAAAAGGCAATATAAAACGATGAATTTTTAATTCTGAGGGGAGTAATCATGCTCTTGGATGGTATCGCGCGAAACTCCACTCCAACATTCACCGTAGTAAGAATGTCGTTTCGTACAGCGGAAAAAGATGCTGCCCGTAGCGAGAGGTTTTCCATCCTATACTCTGGTCTCTCTTGGGGAGCGGAGACCAGGCGATAGCCACAGAGGTGGGTACAGCGGAGTACCATCAAGACTGCCTGACGGCACAGTCTTGAGACCAATCCGAGGACGATGAGGTGAAAGGGATGAGTGAGATAACAGGCGATCTCTCGCCAAAGTTCAAGAGGCAGCGTTGGACAGATGGTGGTGGGTGGCATATCGTCACTTCTATCAGCTCTCTGAACGGGGGATTCCTTCAGGTAAATGTACCGCACATAATGACAAGCCTCCAAAGCACGCCGAAAGAGTGCGGGGTCGATGCGATATCCAAGACGGGCGAGACCAGTGATGCCTGGCGTAGATGGTGAATCTGCGTAGAATGACGGTAAAAATTGGAGGGCGCTCGTGTGGCTGAATGACATCGTGTGTGCGTTTTTGACGACTTTGACGACTGCACAATGGAAGACAGAAAACGCGATTCCAAAGTAATGACCAGAATGATTCGTCTGCTCCAAGATCACGTTGATCAGACGTGACACGGAAGCCTGTAGGCATCGCTCGTCATATAGATGTGTTGCGATGTAGACAACAGTGTCTTCGCGAACCCACGTGAACTCCTTTCTTTTCAGCTTGGGATGGGAAATGCACTGTACGTCGTCGAACATCTGAGGAATAAATGTAATGCTGGCCATGAAGCATGCAATTGACCATTGATCGTCCGTGATCTGGTTGTGGTCGTTTAAAAGCTCTATTTCGTAGATTTCCTTGCCAATGGCTGAGCTAAACATGCACTGCCCAATCATGACTTCTAGCAATGTGACCCGAACGTGCTCGTCTTGAGAAAGGCCGTCACTGACGGCGAGCAGATCACTCAGAGCCACTTGAGATCCGGTGCACATCAAAGACTGGTACGTCTCGAGTTCAGAATTGTGGACAATTGGCGGTGTTGGCTTTTTGTATCTGTTCTCCGGGGGACATTCTAACGGGCAAGCTGCGTGGCCGTAATGATCTCGAGTGATGCCATCATCGGAGATGTATTGGAGAAAAACGGCGTCATCTGGGAGACATTCCAAGGAGAAAAAAGGCATGTCGCACACATGGAAGATATTGCGATCAAGATCAATCTCGTAGGTCCAGCCACAAGTTTCTGGCCGCAGCTGGGAGGGCCCATCGAAATTTTCATCACCACCTTCTATCAGTAATAGAGAATGCGAAGGGCTCTTCAACCCGTCCAGCATCTCTCCAAACACTTTCTGATAGGTCGCGATGGCATTGGGCTGCCGTATATACTGAAGCACCTTTAAGCCAAGCCCCTCTGGATAACCATCACTACCGTGGTGTGAAAGATAATACATGTTCCGATAGCGGACCACGTAGTGCCCGTTGGTTCCCATACCTGCAGGTCAACTGAAGAGAAGTGAACTTCGGTGGTTGTAAGCGTCTAGTTATGTGGATGATTAGAGAAAAAGATGAGTGGCGTGTGATGGACGGTTTTTAAGTCGACTTGGTCATTATATAAGCACGAAATCTGGCCCTGCTGAGTCGTGTGGACTTACGATCAACCGGCCGTCAGAGGATGGTACCAAGGTTAAACATTTTGAAGCGTCTTGACTAGCTTTGAATTTTTTGTGTGATGTAACATTTAGGCTATTAAGTAGTATATCATTAATCATTAGAAGTTAGAACGGGACAAATGTGACTTTCAGCTCCAGATACTCAAACACCATAGAAGAAACGCCAGTAACCTGGAAGCAGATGAGCGAGCGCGTACCACAGCTGATATGAGCCCATTGTCAGCTTCACTCGGTGTGCTCCCAAGCAATATTTTAACTCACACTATAAAATTTGCAGGACTGCTTATCGGCGCCTACCGTGTTGTACATCACGAACCGGATTCCTACAAATGCGCCGTAAAGTACAAATGCAGTGGTAGAGAGTGCATCTATCTTCCAGATACGACTCAAGGCATACGACCAGAGGGGAAGACCGAACATCATTGAAAAGCGTGCGGCTTTGGGGAAGATCGTGGGTAGCGTGTGCCTGCCAGTGAGGCGATCGCCCTCTTCGTCCTTGAAGTCTTGCGCATGAAGCGTAGTCGCAAAGACTATCGAGCTAAGTGCGACCGCCAAAGCACCAGCCTTATCGATGCACGAGTTGCTCCGACCTGTATGCTTGATGAGCAAAATGATAGATTTTCTGTGACTAGATAGATTTACCGGCAGCGACGGTTGCTCCGACCTCCAGACACCCACCAAGGATGGCTGTGAGTGCATTCTTTGACAATCCCATTCTATCACCGCGAAGTTCGTTGTACCAGATTGTCAACGCTGCAAAAACGGTGCTGGCCAGCATAGCCTGAGTGCCGTACCATAACGACAGCAACAAGCAAATTGGGACCATCACCCAGCGCATATCAGCTGCGCTGTCGACAGAAATGCGACCAGCAGGTATCGGACGGGAGGGCTTGTTCTTGCGGTCCTCCTCCGGATCCTGGATCTGGTTCGCAATATTGAACTGCAATAAGTGGAACCATATCCACAGAGGAGCATTCCAAGCGTGAGTGGGATCATATTTGGGAGCCACAGATAAAGCGAATATGGTCTGAAAAGTGTAATTGAACAAGGGGGCGAAAGGTACAATGGTTGGCACATACGACAGGTATCAGAGTGGTTCTGATATCATTTTTTGTAAAAAGGAAAACCGTCTCGAAATGACGAGCGATGCTATCAGCGCGAACAGTGAGAGCTTGAGAGAACATTGTGACTTGTTGAATGCCTAGATTGTGTGTCGGGTCCATACCTTTATACCTCGAATGTGCGCCTGAAAGAACGCGAGCCACCGGTCAGTATGGCAAAAGTCATGCCGGGAGTATACGATGATTTCAAAGGCTGCGTCGCGGGATTTCAGGACACCAAACCGGTCGTGAATCACTAGTTCCGGCGCCACACGAGGCTGTGAAATCACAAGTGCCCCGTCTCCTGGTGAGGAGGATATTGACCAGGTGACTTCAACGAGTTCTACACAGAAGGCAAGCCTGACGATGCGGCTATGCATTCGTGAGAAATAACTCTCGGAGTACCCCTGAACCGACAACCTTATGTGGATGACAGAGTCTACAAAAGTCATTTTTACGTATACCGGTAGATAAGTGAAGGTACCTTAGAACGTTCGCTGGGGAGGGTCTGACAGGTGATGTGCTCATAGTACTATCCTATAGTTGGTCAACGATTGATGACATCATATTGTATTACTGATACACTCACTATCCAAACATGTCAAATCCGAGTAAGTAGGAACTATAGATTCTTACATAAAGAACTTTACCGACAAGTGCATGATGTGCAGCGCGAGGGGGAGATAGGTAGTATAGACACGCAGCCACCAGGGGAAGCTGAGGTGCGGACACCTAACTAAACCACTCGAAAATCAAAATGAATGCACGGTAGAGGATGACGTACCAATATTACCAAGTGACGAGAATAAAAACCAATCTAGAGGAAGAACCGTTAGAAACGATTCTCCAAATAGAAAACGGACTCGCTCACCTGAAGATACACTGCCCAGAAGAACTCAGAGAAAAGTAATAAGGCAAGATTGTCGTCAATTAAACGATCCAGCTAGAGAATGGGCTTACCTTGACGAAAGCGGGTATGAGGAAGAAGTAGAGCTAACCCAAACTGAAGCGGACGTTATAATGAAAGCCATAGCTGATAACGACAGCTTCGATCCTACTGAACCACATACACTGAATGAAGCGAAAGCATCAGTAAACTGGTCAACGTGGGAGGAAGCTATAAACGCGGAACTTACACAATTGCACGAAATGCGCACCCTTACATCTCCTATTGCGAGAAATAACAACGAGACGTTCATCTAATCTCTCTCGCTCATATTCCTATTCACAACAGGTTAGCTTAAAAGACCACTACAGTGCAGTACGCTCAATGTCGAGGACGAGGCACTCGCGGAAGTAATCGATTGAGCAGATACTCAAGAAGTCATAGTGAACGATTCCATAGCAAGTAAATTTGGCTTGAGCTACCTCTACTATAATAACGCGTGTTTACCGCAATCTAATTGTGAGCTTACAGTTCGGATGGGCCGCTGGCTTGATTTATTGATGAATGATTACCGAAAAGAACGACAGCCTGGGTGTGTCGGAAATGGCTCCCGGCGACCTCGTGGTGAGATTTTTGTAGTACTGTGAACCGCTACTTCCAAGATCGAGATTTGACAGTGTCGACAAAGATCAGCGCAAGTACATCATATTTTGTTGCACTATGTAATTCATGAAAGTTGAATTATGGCAGATGACTTATAAGAGGATACGCACCACAGAACACTCTTGTCTGTGAGGAAGCAAGCCACCATAGGTTGTCGTCCGAGGTTTCCTATAGCTAGTCCACGGTGAAAGTGGCCGTGACAAACTTGCATTAGAGTGGTCAACCTGTCTACGAAGCGATATACGCAAACGCGACGGATTGATCTCCAGTCCAGTCAATCGGCATGAGATGAAATGATGAGGAGACGTGAACCACGAAGATTACAAGAATGATTGTGACTGAGAGCTTGAGAAACGACTAAATGAAGAAATGCGCTTAGCGCTGTTGCTCTCACGCAAATTGATGGTCCGTGCACGCTCAGCCCAGTATAAAATCTGACCAGATAGGATTAGAATTCTTCATACTTACCTTGATGGCACAGGCTTCTTCATGTCTCAGGTTCGTGGGCCGTGGAGACCTTTCATAGCACGGCGACCTTGTCCTCAGAGGGTGTCTGCGGTTTGTATGAGCTTCGGCTCATGCACCGTCTCAATATTTTCCTGTCCCACCATGGCCACTCTGGCTGGGTGGGCCTTGCTTTTTGCTGTTTTGCCGTTCTAACCCTAACCCTAGTCCTCTTTACTAGGAATCTTTTTTCTACATCATCATGATACGTAACAACAATAGAATTTCTATGCTTCTTGCTCAAATATTAATGTCGATGGCGTGGCGGGCTCAGCGTGCTATTGCCAAGTATCAGCCTTACCATGCTTTGACTGATGTTTAATTACTACCCTGCTTTCGACTTTTTTGAAGAATGATCCTTGGACCATAAACGCGTCGCATGGACTCTGATGCGAGCCTCTACTCTTGAACTTGGCTGGGTCACTTGAAGGTACGTAGTTTATGGATGCCAGTATCAGATATCCTGCACGGTTTCTCACTTTCACCAGTGACTGGAACGGTGTATTTGCTCAAGCTTCGTAAATCTTTGCGAGGATGTTCAGGTCTGCACAGTCGGTAGTCAAACCCAAGACCGATTTCTCAACGATCAGCACGATACCATCAGGATGGTCTTTGAAAGGGTGATTGCAAGTGACATATACCGAAAGTAACCTGCGAGGTTCGTTGTAGATCGCTTCTATCTGAGTTTGATGTGTGAGTCAAATCGATTGATCATTACTTTCGCTTTCACACCCATTTTAGTTGAGTCCTTGGAATAGAGCTTGTTGGCGCTGACCAGATAATCAAAGACACATGCGAGAGGGGGCGAGCGTGAGACCAGTCAAGAAGTCATAGACTCTTACGCAATGACAGTGGCCATTAACCGCTCTACATGAGTAATATGAGTATATATTCAGACTACGGTGAGTGGCACATCTACCTACTCACTGAACTCGCTATCATGACTTGGAACTTGCCCGCAGTGTCTGTCCGACTGGATGGCCTTATCGATTTTCTGCAGTGTCTTTCCTTTTTACATTTTCTACGACTCACTTAACTTCGGCGATGTTACAGATAATATCACCATCGGAACGTAGCCTGCCGGCATTGAAACGCTTTTGGCCGCTGTTTCCGCTGTCTCTGATGACCCTACCGTGGTTCCTACAGAACCTATCACTGTCTATGTCAATTACTACAAATGTGACTCCGCTGACGACGAAGATGCAGTCAATGCGACTGTTGCGCTTGCAAATGATCCCACGCTGATTCTTTCGAAGCTCACGCATTTCAATTGCAGTACTTGGGCGCAAAGACCGAAAAGAGTCAGGGTTCTATATCGTTCTTTCGCCGTTTACTAGCTGCTAAACGAACTTCCAGCCTGCTACCAATCAGCTCATGATCACACGCCAGCACCCACCCAGCTACAACGCCTCTTGGCACTGATCCATCGGACAAAAGGTAATACTTTCATCCGGCATCGTACGGTAGCCACGATTGGTGAGGGGTATTAAAGGTGCTTTCGATAAGGTCTCATCCATCTTCCGCCCTTCCAAGCCATGTTACTGCTGCCTTACCAGCCCATCTATGATAACACGTGGCTCGTCCTCAGTGTCACGACTTTTCTTGTGGTGGTAACAGTAATTGCTCGGGCTTATCGTTCTAGATCAAGGAATGGCCTTCCTCTCCCACCTTCCCCTCCCAATTGGAGACTTATGGGACACTTCCTTCCTCTTCGCCAGTAAGGATTCCCATCTACCACTGTTTTTGAATGCTAAACATGTCTTATCGGTGGTCAGTCCATTTCTTACTGTAGCAGAATGGATTGACGAATGCGGTCCTGTAATTAGCATTCGCGCAGGAACCGAGAAAGTCGTTATAATCGGCCGCTACAAAGTTAGTTTCTCTACTCTGACTTGTCATCCAGGCTCAACTTTCTGCTGTAGGCAGCGGTGGGCATTATGGAGAAGCAGGGCGGAGCGCTGGCTGATCGTCCTCCCATGAATTCTGGACAAATGATCACCGGCGGATTGGCCATCGGTCTTGCACGCATTGGGGACAGGTGGCGTCGGATGCGTAAGTTCGTAATTTACGTGCCGTCGCAGAAAAGCCGCTATCTGACATTGCAACGTGATACAGAGCAGTTCATACGCATCTCCAGCCCAAGGCAGCCGAGGCGTATCAGCCTTTGCAGATGTCATTTGCGAAGAACACGGTCCTTGACATTCTCAATGATCCATCCAACTTTCAGAGCCACGTGTTAAGGTAAGTACTTTCCTAGGTCTGGGGTATTACTTACGAATATTTTGAAGTTACGCTGTAACGACGGTTTTGAAAGTGGCGTATGGGAAGGATACACCCACGTCTGCGGCTGACCCCGAAGTCAGAGCGATTCATCAGTACATGACTGTATTCCGGACAGTCCTGCAACCTGGAGCTTACTGGGTGGACACGATTCCCTGGCTCAGATACCTTCCTTGGTACGGCAGAAAATTAAATAGTGAGTTTGAGGTTAGCCGGAAAGTCTACTTTGGTCAGATGAACCGCTTGAAACAACAATTGGTACGCATGCCTGATCTTCCAGTTCTCGCATGTTATCTCAACTATCCCACAGCAGAGTAATGTGGACGCTGGTCCTTCGTTCGGGAGATATGTGCTAGAAGATGAACATCGCCTTGGCTTGTCAGAATTGGAGGCGCATTATCTTCCTGGCACCTTTTTTGCAGCTGGAAGCCATTCAGTGAGGCCTGGTTTATCGTTTCCGACGATATGTGACTGATATCAAGTATCAGACTGCTGCGGCAATATGCACGGTGCTAATGGCAGCGGCATGCTTTCCCAAGGAGCAAGCGAAAGTCCGGGCTGAGCTTGATGCGGTCGTAGGAAGGCACCGAGGTAGTTCCGTAGTATTTCATTGCATGGTCGATTCAATGATTTCTCCACGACAGCACCGATCTTCGCTGACCAACAATCTCTTCCTCTCCTGCACGCTTTTATCTCCGAGGCTCTCAGATGGAGACCGGTGAGTCCCAATGGTGAGTATGTTTATTGTTGGTCCCATACCTGAATTTCACATCATTCATACTGCAGGGTTTCCTCACCGAACAACACAAGACGTGTTTTGGGCGAGTGATCTTTGAATAATTTCTCGTGAATGATAATCTGATATCCACTTGGCAGGAAAACTACTGCATTCCCGCTGGAACTACGGTACTCGGTAGCAATTGGTAAATGTCATCCTTCAAATTGCGAACGTCTTTACGATTACTTTGTCAGGGCCATCTCGAAAGATCCGGAAGTTTACCCTGATCCTGACGTGTTCAAACCTCAGCGTTGGATGAATGATCAAGGTGAATTGAGGGATGATATCACATTTTTTGTTTATGGGTTTGGTCGGCGGTAAGCAGGGTCGTCTTTCGGGATATTCTATTTGATTGTCTGTCATTCCAGTGTATGCCCTGGTATACACCTTGCGAACAGGTAAACGTATCTTTTCATGTAATAATCCTCTCAGCTCATTTCCAGCGGTGCAGATCGGTGTGGATCAACTCGGTCCTTCTGTTTTGGGCCTTCCAGCTCACTCTAGATCATACGAAGCCATTAAATGACATGGGCTTCATGGGTCTGGTGTCACCACATGTCTCTTGCCCTATCGTGTTTACACCGAGAGTTCCAGACATGGAGCTCAGGCACGTCATGCATAGGTATCCTGAGGTCGACTCGGAATGAGAAGCCTCTATGAATATCCCTCTATACCTCGCAGTATGATATTTCAATTTTCAGCACGGCCCAAAGTATGTATTGTGTAATGTATGTCGTTGATTGCTGAGCTTTTCTTCCTTTCGGACTCGGAGACCGCGTTCTTGAGCGCAGTTTGAAGGAGATTTCGTAACCACATGGTAGGTCTATCACATTCCTACATAGAGAATGAACTAGACATGTGGCTTTGAAAGTTCTCTTGAACGACGGAGCGAAGAGACCTTTAAGCAGTTAGATCATCACAATTTTTAAACCCCGGATGACCTCGGGCCACTGGAAAGATCTACATTATGCATAATGACCCTGATGAGTGGGAGAAGAGGGTTTTGTTAGAGGCCATGTCGTGGGATGCATCATATATACCCTTGGGTTCAACGATTTTAGGCTTTGTTGACTCTTGCATTCGCAGTTTGAAATGGATATACATTTCTGCACAAATGCGCGTCTGTCGTGTCCCGCGTGCTCGATGCATCGATGAAGCTCCTCATGACGTCGACCATGCTGTTGAACCATATCTGATATTTTGCCCCCGATTGCATCCAGATATATATGCAACCGCGACCTCTTTCTGATCCTGGCCCCAGTCCGCGCATTGTGTTCGTGTCCGCCTCTTGTGTACGCCTGTTTGCTCAGTTGTGACTTGACATGGTCATTCCATCGCGCAAGTGCTTCACGTTAAACCTGTCTTGCCAAAACGTTTATATGAGCAGCACCGCGTTGCAGTGTGGTCCGTCCGGATCCATACCAGCTTACAACCACGTGGCGCCCTGTATCATTTCACGCTCGCGCTTCCTAAGTTCGAGTATTAACCGAGAAAGGAGTATCATTCCCATCGTCTTGCTAGGTGTGTCTTTAAAATGGCTGTTGAATCATATTAAGAGTCGTGACTATTACGTCTAGGTTACGATCTTACATGATCGTGGGTGTCCATTGAATTCGGCAACGCCATCGATTGGATCGTAAGTGTCACCAGAGGGAATATATATATAGCACGGAAGTATTGGCTGTCCAGTGTTTAGCGGTGGAAAGAAGTTTGAATCGAAGACTCGGAGTACATACAGGAAGGTCAAAGAGCCTAGTTGATTGGTAAAAAGAAATTGACAACGTTTGACATCGCGACAACGTTTAGATTTTCTATCGTCCACCCTTGCCAAGCATCTGAGATGCTGAGGTCAGAAGCGTCTTCTGGTGCGAATTGCAGTTGTCGGTGCCGGTGTCACATTACGCAAGAAACTCTTGAATGAACCCAGGCGCAAGTCGATAACGAGGTGGGAATTGAGCCGCTGACCACCCATATGTGGAACGAATCAGGGAAGCTGCCTGTCGGGCCCAAGGACAATATGCGCGGGGATAGTTCTCATCTTCCTCTGCTTCATAAGGAAGTTATTCTTCGCCTGATCGTGATTCGAGGTGGAAGTTAGGTACTGTTCGAGATCAAGTGAGATACACGAATCGGCAATCATTTTTTGAAGTTCTTCACCCTTTTATCTGCGAGTTTGGCAGTGATGTCTGAGTTTTTCTATGAGTATATCATGGCTCGTTAACATGTCTCCATGTCGGGCCCTCGGATTTGAACCACTTGAAAATTGTTGTCGAGTCTGGATTCTGGAAGAACTGAAACTCTATTTCGGTTGAACGGCGTGGGAAATATTGGCTGTGTCCAACAGTTGTCAGAGGAAACTTGAAGTAGTTTGGATCGAGCAACTCGTCCTACCAAACGGCTGGGCATCTGTGCTTTAACTGAATTTCTTGCCAATCTGTGAACTACTTCTGTGGCCCTTGTGCCCGCGCCTCTCATTTCTGTTCTACGTTAAATTCCAACTTGTATATGTCTGCACACGGCCACAAACATACGGGTTCCGTGACCCAGAACCACAAAGCACAACTTGCTAATGCCTATAACGAACTCGGGAAGGAACTCTCGTCGAGTAAGATAAGGGTTGTCGGAAACTACACCCTTGGAAAGGTCATCGGTGAAGGTATGGCTTCTGACTCTTATTATTGCTTTCCTATACCTGACACACACTAGGCGCGTACGGGAAAGTTCGCCTGGGTACTCACCGTATCACCTCTACTAGAGTCGCCATAAAGCAGATTCCAAAGGCAATGTCTGCCTCCCTCACCCGTGAAATACACCACCACCGCCAGCTTCATCACCCCCATGTTACTCAGATGTATGAAGTTATTGCCACCGAATCTCACATCTGGATCGTCACAGAACTCTGTTGTGGCGGCGAGCTGTTTGACTATCTTGCAGAGAAAGGTCGCTTGTCCGAACGCGAATCCAGCATCATTTTTGGTCAGCTTGCGCTTGCAGTTGCATATCTACACGAGAAGGGCATCGTTCACCGAGATCTGAAGCTTGAAAATGTCTTACTTGATGAACGCTGTCGCGTCAAACTCGGCGACTTTGGTTTTACTCGCGAATATGACCGTGGCGTCTACATGGAGACTTTTTGCGGTACTACGGGATACGCGGCCCCTGAGATGCTTCAAGGCAAGCGTTACCTTGGCCCAGGTGAGCTCGCCTACCTTACTTTCTCTCATTGGAACCTTTTAATTTCGATGGCGCATTAGAGGTTGACGTTTGGTCCATGGGTGTGATTCTCTACTGTCTTCTAACTGGCACACTTCCGTTTGATGACGACGACGAAGCAGTCATGAAAGAAAAGGTCATCAAAGGCAAATATGAAGACCCGGAGTGGCTTTCTACAGGTATCTATTAATTTCATGCTTTTTGGATGCGATTTACCAGCGGTGGACATAGACGCCCGTGATCTTGTCCGCAATATTCTCGAGGTCGATCCTGCCAAGCGTCTGACGATCCCACAAATTCTGGCCTCTCCGTGGTTTACATCTACCCCTTCCGCCCCTGTTTCTGACCAAATGCTCCTTGGTATCAATGATGTTCCTCCATCACCGTCACCTGCCCGCGATACCTTTATCCTCCCTGTGAAACCCATCGTGAACACTCAAACACAGGTGAACGAAATTTCTATTTCTCCGGCGACGTCGACTACATCTGAATCATTTGTTTCTGCATCATCTCATTTATCACCTCCTGCAACTCCTGATAACACTCCTAAGGACCCTTTTGATACAACTCAGGGTAACGGGAGCCAAACCACGATTACGAAGGATGCTCAGCGCTCTCGACTCAGTAAAGATAGCATGACCCGGCAGCCTGAAGCCGTCATCGAAGAGGAACCTGAAGCAGAGAACGTTGCACCATCCGCTGCAGGGTCGGTTACAAACCTCGATCAAACACCTAAGGCGCCCCCGTATCCAACACGCACACCTGCACGTACAAAGCGCCGTTCTGTATCTTCTACCCTTTCCGACTCTGGTTCACCAACACTGGACAAGCCATTGGCCCCTCTCCCACCCCAGGATTTTGCATCATTGCTCAGCACTCCAGCTCCCATAATTTTCTCCACACCCGCGGAACGCGACCTTCTCAATAGCCTCAGTCTACTGGGATTTGACACTAGTCAGATCGTGCATTCTGTTCTCAGCGATGCGTGCGATGCCGCAGGTGCTATTTGGTGGATGCTAAAGCGCAAGCGGGAAAAACGTGTTTTGGCTGGAGAAATACCATTGCCCCCCGAGTTTTCCGAGCCTGCAGATAGCAAGCAGCGAGAGAAAGATGAAGAGAAAGAGGACCGTCCTAATTCTCGGAGACGTACCAAGCGTGGCATTGGTGTGCAGACTGATGATGTCCCAATTGCTTCATCACTGGGTCTGATACATCGTGCTCCTGAACTTGCCTTGTTGCCTCCGACACCTACCGTCCCATCATCTGCACGGCCCACGACGCCGCCACGTGCGAAGTCGCCGTTTCTGTCACCGTCACCGACTACTGCTGAATCGTCTGGTAGGTCCAATCCATCGACACCTACCGGAAGTTTCAGGGATAAAGATAAGGACAACAAAGGGAGGAGGGATAGCAAAGCACGCTCTGGGAGTGTGAGCATTATGCAACGCGCCACAAATGCCCTCGAAATCGCAGGTCTCGTGCGCAAGAAATCAAACGAAGCCGTGAAAGGGGAGGACAAGGAACGCGAGCGGGAAAGATCTAGGGAGCACGAGAAGCGGACTGGAGGTGGGGAGGAGCCCCGAAATTCCGGGAACTCCTCCAAGTTGACCAAGTCGCCGCCTTTGAAGCCTAAGGACCAAGTGATTATCCCTACTACCCCATCCATTGCAGAGTCGAGTATCCTTTCTCCTTTGCCTGGTTCGCCGTGGGTAGGTCACTGGTGGCCGAACGTCTCCTCCACAGTCACATGCACCAACACCTGCGAACTCTCCGGGTGATACGCTGACGAGCCTCCCGAACTTCTCAGATGATGGAAAGGTTGTGCCACCTAACCGGAATCGCGCCAGTTTATTGTCTGCGTTCAGACTGTGGTTCCAGGAAGATAAGAAAGGGAAGCGAAAGGAGGCGGCGCAAGCTCAAGGCAGTGGACGCGGACTTTCATATAGCCGTTCTCTTGCCATTCCCCCTACTGTTTCCATGTCACCTGGTGGTCATGCGAATGTCAAGAGAAGAAGCAGTGGAACTGGGCGTGGACGGCGTGTGAAACGTCACTCGACGTCGTCGCGCCGTTCGAGCAGTGTAAATTCTCATCGGTCGTCAGGAAACTCTGGGCAATTGCTAGTTCTGGAGCCACCTCAAATACTAGAGCAAATTCCCAGCGTGCGGTCGTATGGCGGTGCTCATACGCCGGGATCTGACAGGGGAGAATACTCATCGCGCCCCTCCTCTATTCATAGTGTTACACTTGGCAAGCACCGCAAATCGCCATCTACAGGGTCTAATGGGTCAGCGCACTATCGCAACAGTTCACCGATGCATAAATATCACCACAGGCGAGCCGGGTCTTCCTCGTCGACGCGTGTCATACGTCATCAGACAGGGCCTCGACCTGTACACCATAGGACCAGCTCTGCTACATCATCCGTCCACTCAC